TATATATATGTATGTATGTATTATGTATATAAAATATGATATAAAATATATATGATCTATCTTATCTTACATATGTATACATATATATATATATATATATATATATATATATATATATATATATATATATATATACATATATGTATACATATGTAAGATAAGATAAGATCATAATTACAAGCCCTAGCAATTTTCCTCGCCATGGTGAAACAAGGTCTTGTAAGGCAAAACGAGCCACCTACTTTCCCCATTACTATCATACCAAGACCTGAATGATATAAAGTCCGCCTCGAATGGCTCATACGGCGTTGTGCTCCGCCATGCTGGTTGCCACGGTACGCCAGGTATCCATTACCGTCACTCAGCGACCAGTGTAGCAAGTCGTAGCCCGTGGAGAGAGATAGTCAGTGGCAATTCTGACCATGTGTCTCCAGTGCTTCTCACCAGAATGCGCTTTGGAACGCAGTTTGCCAGTTAAAATAAAATTTATGATCGGTTATGACCCTCAGAATACGCTGATACTAATGCAAGAAGGCTCCTTAGGTTTGACACCTGGAATAGATGTTGATTTAAGTGTAGCTCGGGACTAAAATCATATTGAAATGTTTACCTGTCCAACGCCTGTAACGAAATATGAATATAGTAAACATGGTATTAGATTCATATACAGAATGTCGATAACACCGGTATTGCCATTTAGCTATTTCAAAATTTTAGACTCGAGGAAAAAATATATATATATATATTGAAGACACAGTTACAACATGTTTTAAGTGTCATATTTCATGCAGATAATGGCACATAATAATGCTGTAGTACGCAATGCTTTTGGTAAGCCTGGTAATTAAGAATGACCAATGCTGCAGCTCTGAATTGCTTATTTGTTCTCATATTTTACTGAAGATAAATACATTTAGATAAAGATATATTTTGGTGTTTTGTTCTGATTGAACAATTTCCACGTGCACGCTCTCATAACGATTCAGTTTCGTTACATCTTCAGTGTAAGAAGGTTGCCAGATGTACGGGAACTACTGTCTGTTTTAGGGAAGTATTTTCACAGTCATTTGTGTATTGCTACTTTGTCACCCCTACATTCCTAATATATATGTATATATATATATATATATATATATATATATATATATATATATATATATATATATATATATATAATGCATTAAGCAATTTTCAACTGTACCAAAATCTTTGAAATATCCCCAAGATAAGACAAGATAAAATCATGGCGTCATGGCGTGTTGATTGTAAATCTACTGGGAGAAAACATGATAAAAAAGAAGCATAACCAATGACACAACACCACAGCATGCAATCGACAAAAAAATGTTTTCACTTCCTCTTCCGATTTTTCTTCCGCGTCCTCGAAGCTAAAATAGATCGCCTCTCGCCACCTCGATGACTCGCTCACGTAAATGCGATTTCATTATCACAAAACTGTCGAATCAGCAGCGTGTTTAAGTGTACCGATTCTCTAGCCTGTCTCCTTATGCCCACATCCTGTTAAAACCTACAGCCAACGGTAGTTAAACATATAAGTACCTTCATACACGAAAGAAGGGGGAGAGAGAGGGACTACCCATGGGGGGGGGGACGTCCTGAGGGAGAGGGCAGGAGATAAGAGGGTGGGGGGAGGAGCGGGGAAGGAGAGGTAGGAAGAGAGTTGGGGAGGGAGAGATAAAGACGGACATGGCCAGATAACAGAGGAAAGCAAAGATAGATGATAACAAAAGGATATAGAAAATTAAGTCATAAGAAATCATGTCGGAAATCTCCAGCTGTTGCTCGTTCAAGCCCAGTGATGATACCCGTGGAGATTTGAACAGAATCTACAGTGCCATGAAAATGGTTATACATTTCAAGCTATTTTGTAGTGGCCTGTTCTTTCAATCGTATCTTACAAATGATCCCTCGCCTCGACAGCACCCTTTTTAAAAATATTTCACTGAAAGCATTTTACAGTGATATAACCTGATGAAATTTGAAAATTATGTATAGTTACTGGTTATTGGCTAATGGTCCAAAGCAAAATAAACGTGCTTGGCATCAAAGGTCACATAGCATGAACACACGGAGGATGGATATCGACAGTTGCTTTGAGCGTAGAGGGAACGGGAGAAGAAAGGTGAAAGATGATTGAGGTTGATTGTCTTCGGGAGTTCTTGAAGTGGAGTTGGTTGGGGAGGTTGAGAAACAAACGCTTTATTATGAGGGGAGAGGAAGAGATAGGCATCTAAGGGGGATTGAAAAGGTTGGTGGAGGAGGGGTTGTGATAGGAGATAGGGTGGAATGTCTAGGTTGTCTGCCACGGGTAGAGGGAGGAAGGAGAGGGGTAGGCGTCGGGACAGAGACTGGGGTGTCTAGATTTAGACTTGCAAAGACTTTGATTGGGAAGGGAAGGGGGTAGAAGTGGAAACGTAAGATGGAGGAGGAATAGATACAGGAGGGATGTAGAAGCACCTTGGGAGGAAGAGCAAGGGGTGGGCTGAAATGCAGCAGAGTAGGGAAGAGAAAAACCTCGTGTGTGTGCTTACTGCTTGGTCTTACGTAAAATGAGGCCAGGTTCGGATCTGAGACTTGCCACCTCACACTCAAACTGGTACGTGGGGCAGCCCCTATAAAGTACATTGTGGGAGCCACTACCATTGGCATACGTGCGTGACTGTGCCGAGCAGTTTGATCGATTATGACCAGGTAGGGCACAGGGCATCGGGTTGTGGAGCGAGTGTTTGGCAAGGTGGCCCAGACGCCAGCAATTCTGACGTTGACTTGGGAAATTAATATGGTCGGACAAGGAGGCATTCTCTGCCATTATAAACTTGGGGTATGTCATGTCTACGGAAAGTAATCTTGACAATATTGGTGGGGAACTTACAACAGCCTCTGGGGGGAATGGTGTAACACTGTACTGATATTGCATCATAGTCCACAAATTAGGCGAGATTGTCGGGGAGATGGAGACGATTCCGGTACAAGTATTGAGGGAGGGATGAGGCTGGGCAGGAATGGGTTTGCCAGTCAAGTCAGAGTCAATAATGTTTTAGCTTGGGATTCGGATGTGACTGTGACAAGGCATGAAGGATGGGGATGGCTGTAGAAGGAAACTTTGCCCACTTGTTTTGGAGGCAGTGTTGGAAGAGGCGAGTGCTGTTCGAGGAAGGGGCTGTAGAGGGAATCACAAAAAAAAAAATCGATCCCATTTGGCTGGGCTGAACAGAGAACTCAAAAGATTTGTAGAGGGGGGGGGGGGTAGTGGAAGGACGGGGCCATACGGAAGAGGGAGCGGCGTTGAGTGAGAGATAGATAAAGGCTGCAGAGGAGTAATAAGGAAGGACATGAAGAGAGCTGTGGTGTGGAGATGAAGTAGAGGATGTAGGGAGAGGAGGAAAGTTTCCTGGAGGGTGAGTAATGACCTGGGTGGTTAATTTGGACTGAACTGAGCTGATAGTAGGTGTTGAGGAGGGAGGTAGTAGTCGCGTTCAGAGTCCTGTCAAAGGAGAGCCTGGGGTCAAGGAAGAAGGGGAATTAAAATCAGTGGAGCTCTCACACTTTAGGACTTAACTTGATATTCTTTTGCCTAAACATAACAACGACCATCATTTCCTCTGCATAAATCAGCAGTTCATAATTTACCATCTTTTGGCATCCCTCTGTGCTCTGGGCATATCCATCTTCCTTTCTCTCTCCCCTATTTGACTTTCTCCCTCCCCCTGGTCCCCTTCCTACCTGTCTTACTCCCTTCTTCTCAGCCCCCCCTCTTCGTCCTCCTCCCCTCCCCCCTTCCTCCTTCCCCCCCTTCCTCCTCATCCCTTCCCCCCTTCCTCCTTCCCCCCTCCCCCCTCTCTCCTTCGGACGTTTCCTCAATGTGCACCGCATGATTCTTACAAAAAAAAGAAGCCAAAACCAAAATTCTCAAGAGGGTTATGGTGTTTATACGTTTTGTTTTGTTTTTTCTTTTTTACTCTTTCTATCATTTCCATAATCTGAAATTAGATAAATGATAACACTGGTATTGTCGACTTTCTGTGGATTCTTTAATTAAATTGTTTATTTCGTTATAGGAGTTCCATGGGTAACCATTTCAATACGATATCAAGAGCCACACAAAGATCAACATATATTTATGGTGTCAGTACCGGGAGGGTCTTAGGCCACCAAAGCCTTTATTTAGCTCATGTAGAGTATACATGAGCTATACACCTGCCAATACCTGCCACAGAGGAGTACAAGCCAGCGCAATTCAGTGCCAGTCCCAAGCCTGGATAAGGGAGGAGGGTTGACGTCAGGAAGGGCATCCGGTCATAAAACACTGCGCCGACCTAATCATGATGCGGACACAGATAGACAACGGATCCGCACCGGCAACCCCGCACAGGGAACAAGCCAGTAGAAGAAGAAGAAGAAGTAGAGTATACAGAAAGTGGCACATCTCCCGAGGGACTTCAGTGAGAAATGTAGGAGCTATGTGTCTAAGAGCTGTTGATTACGTTTTTTAGGTAACCCTTTGGTGATAATTTCCATACATTGGGTTGTGGCCTTTTTTTTTTTTTTGGATACTTTTTTAAGGTGACGTTGTTGTTTTTTTCATTTTTTTCCCCTTCTCTAGATTTTTTTTTTTTCTTCTTTTGAGGGGGGGGGGTTAATGCAGATTTTTTTCCTCCTAGTTTAGATTCATGGAGAAATAATGGGTACTTAAGATTCCACATGACTTTGATCTCTATCTGGGGTGTATATTTTTTTTTTCTTTTCTTTCATCTATTCCAGAATCTTAGATTTTATGGATTAGTTTTTTTCCGAATCCCAGATTTCCGACTAGCTTTTTTTCTTTAATTATCATTAATGTCTAGGTCGTTTGTTTGCACCCCCGTTCTATAGAAAGTGTAGGTGCCTATACCACTATCGGTTGCAAAACTTCTATTGTTAGAGTGTTGCAATGCATAGTGAGAATTAATCTGCAATAACTGAAGGAGGTAAAAACGTAC